GAGAGCTGTGTCTCTCCTCCAGTCTCTGCTCACTCTGCTGTGGGTACTGTGGAGCTCACAGTGTTGTCAGCGAGAGCTGTGTCTCTCCTCCAGTCTCTGCTCACTCTGCTGTGGACACTGTGGGACTCAGCTCTCAGGTTAGTGTCAGATGTCACCCACTGTGTTCCCCTTGATAGCTGGGCTTCTTTTCAGTTGGTGTGTGATGCCAGACTGCGAGCTCAGCACTGCTATGTGGACCAATACAGCCTTTCCAGAGCTAGTGATGGCCAGGAGTCCAGGCAGCCATGTTGGGCAGGTGTTTGCCGACATGCACACTGTGGTCAGATTTAAGTCACCCCCTACTTCTCCCACTTAGGGACTTAATTCCCAAAACAATGCTCAGTCTGTCGGTGATGGTTCCAGCTGTGGAACGAGTTTGATCTATAGGTGCCCGTGTTTGAGAAAAGAGATTTTTAGTCAGTCTTTCCTAAGGACAGAACCTTATTTCCCGAGTCATTATGAGCCTAGTCATGTTGTCCTTTTGCTGTCGCGGGCCACAGGCCGTTCGGTTGGGGAAAGGCGGTACGAACCCCGGAATGAACCCTCTGGTACGCCAGAGCCCTGGGTATGGGAATTGGAAATCCAGCTCCCGTTGCTCAGCAGTTTGATCCGTTCCGAGTTTTAATGCTGACACCTGCTGGCTTTTGTACACACTGCATTGGTGAAATAGGCCAATGGAATAATATTTCCTGTTAAAGCAGAATAGCTCATATTAATGCGAGATACCCATCAGTGCTTAACTTGACGTGCAGTACAACATGATGCAGTTATGCGCTGGGTCCACTAGGTGTCAGCACTTGTTCACTGTGAGCTGCAGTTTTCCCACTGTGCATGCAGAGCGCTGGGGCACTCTTTCTCACTGGGCTGTGACACGTGTTTATTGTATCCTCTTAGGTGGCATCGGAAACAGCACTACCAGATGAGGAGGATGACCTCTAACCTGTGACCTTTGACCTCTCCAGAGGAAGCAGGAGATGTCTGGGAGTCACAGTGCTCTGGCTGCACTATTACCTTTACTGTAAAACCCAGTCTCAGATTATTTTGATTTTTTTTTTTTTACTTTTTTCATCTTGAAGAATGCAAGTTTGTTGAGAGAGTGCAGACAAGCAGTATGGTACAGGACAAACAGTGCTGTACAGACAATACAGTAAAGACAAATACTTCACAGGCTGTCGTGCTGGCAGCAGATTGCACACGGAGGAAGAGTGTGGATGCTGGGAGATACCGAAAAATGTTTAAAATATGGATGCACTTATTTGAAAAAAGTTTGAATAAAAACTGTCTAAATTTAAGTTCTTGAATGTTTCCTGGTTTCTTCTGTCTAGTTAGATGAGTGTGGGTGAGTTAGATATCTAAAAATGTGACTTCCTGTTGGTGTTGGAGGTTCCCCCTCCCAAGACTAGTGGTCCTGGAGGATCAGTAAGTGGTTCTGTATCCTCTGGACCGTGATGCCCAGGCCAGTGTCCTAGTATGGTGACCAGAGATACTGTGTTGTGGGCTGCTGTTCTTCACTTTAATGTTAGATTGACTGGTCATTACAGACCCAGGACACTGTCAGTAAGAGTAGGGGTGATAACTGTTCTTGAACTGAGTGTCTTGGTCAGTGTGTGTATCTTTATAGACTTGAGAAACTGTTGTAACGTGATCTGTGAAGGAAGTGGTGAAGTCAAGAGCAACATTTTGATCTCTGAGTGAGATAGAGGCTGTTGTGAAAACTAAAAACTTCACCTACTAAAAACCTACCAAGCTGTCTCCAACCTGAACATTTTACAACAGTTTTCTGACTACTATTCTGATTCCACGCAATGATTGGTCTCCATATCTCTACAGATCACAGTATTAATATGTACCATATAGTCCAAAATAACCCTCTAACTATCCTCCAGACCCACTGGACACTACAGTATGTTAATACGGTACAGACACTGGAAACTCCAGTACATTAACACTGCACTGAGAGAGGGGTTAATACAGCACAGACACACTGACTGGACACTACAGGACATTAACACTGCACTG